CAGGAAGGCAGCAGGGGGAAGGAAGTCGCCAGTGCGTGACAGACCTGGCGTTTCAGGAAATGCACTGGCTGTTTGGGGGAGGGGAGAGCAGTGTATGTGCTTCCTGAAACCCGGGATGTGGCTCGCAGCTGTGGGACTTTACCCCCACCCCGCAGAAAGCCGGTGCTACCTCCATTGTTGAAGGTAGCATCAACGGGGGCTGCTTCTTGGAGATGGGGGGGGGGCAATGGCTGATTGACCAGTCAATCACGATCAACGGGTTGGTGACCATGGACCTAGAGCAAGGCATAGGTGCTTCAGTATAATAGATCTCTATCTAAATTTAAGCAAATACTCAGAGGTATTCATTCTGATACCAAAACAGAGAAGGAACAAAAATGTCTATTTAAATCAATGTGTTTCTTCTTCCCTGCAGGGCAGAAAACATTTACCAAGCCTATAAATCTCACATTATCTCTTGATTTTCCCCCCACCCCCTCCATCACATGTACAGATCTTTCTTCCTCTGTTGTGTCAATGGAAACTTGCTATAAAGAGCACATGTATTAGCAGATTTCTGCTTTGTTTCTGCAAGCCATTTCTCAGTCACACCTGGGTTTTTTAAAAAGAGGATCTTTGCTTATGCAGATTTTGAACTGTTGATCTGCTTTAGTGATTCTTGTGCTTGCTAGAAAAGCACAGAATATAGAATCATAGAATACTAGGACTGGAAGGGACCTCGAGAGGTCATAGAGTCCACTCCCCTGCCCTCATGACAGAACCAAATACTGTCTAGACCATCCCTGATAGACTTTTATCTAACCTAGTAAATATCTTAAATATCTCCGCAGATGGAGATTCCACAACCTCCTTGGGCAATTTATTCCAGTGTTTGACCACCCTGACAGTTAGGAACTTTTTCCTAATGTCCAACGTAAACATCCCTTGCTGCAGTTTAAGCCCATTGCTTCTTGTTCTATCCTCAGAGGCCAAGATGAACAAGTTTTCTCTCTCCTCCTTATGACACCCTTTTAGATATCTGAAAACTGCTATCATGTCCCCCCTCAATCTTCTCAAATCCCTAAATCACAACATAAGCCAGTGTATGCTGGTAGGTCATTCATAACATGGGAAGATTTTTTTTTAATAACCATGTTCTAGGCGGGGTTACCTAGAACATGGTTTAACACATAATTATGAAAAAGGAAACCCTATATGAATCCTAATGCAGATATTCTTGGACTTATTCTTTGATGTAAAATATGATTCCAAAAATAGTCTGCATACCAGTTCATATAGGAGTGCTTCTTTATGACCCGTATTCTGCCTATTGGTATGAACTTGTGAAGCATGAGGATTGCTGACAGATTCTGTAATTTATAGCACAGTTTTTTAACCTTGGGAGAAGCAGGGAAAGTTCCACATTACGATTCCTACCTCTTGTTTTGCACAGGATTTATTAATATTTCATGTATCTCAATTCCAGTATGTGTTATACTGTCATTGGGGGCAGGTGGGGAAGAAAGTAACCCTTTCCACGCTCTGAGAAGCTATAGTTCCCCAAAGGGCCATTTATAGCTGGAGATAGCTGAGGTGCATCACGTCCTCCATTCCCTAGTCATAGTCACAGGACTGGGCAGACGCTGCAGGGAGAAAAGCACAGGCAGCACCTATAACAGCTCTGTGTCCACAAAAGGACTCCTGGAAGCCAG